ATTTGAAAGATTGCTGGTAGTAAAGTTGAAGTTGTCTCTTAAAGTTTCGTAGTTGTCATTATGAACTGCTTGGTTTTTTTCATCAACATTATGTCCTTTCTTCATTTTTGAATAATAACACGGCATATTTTTCAACATTCATTGTCTCAGGAATTTTTTTAAATACTTACTTAATGTTTTTTTCCCTCAAATTACTGTTTGCCTTATATAATTCTAATTAGACAAGTTAAAGACAGATTTTTTTTTCCTAAAATTAAGGATATCTATTTTCGAAATCGAAACCTACGAACAGATCTTTATAATTTAAAATTGTCTATTGGTTAACACAAATCCCTTATTCAACCGAATTTCGAAATTGTAAAAATGAGAAATGACTATGGTCTTTTTATCATTTTTCTTTTTTTGCAAATTCACGTTTTTCGATGATGACAAAAATTATTCCATTGGAAATATATATGTTGTGTACAAGATGCAAGTTTGTACATATTATTATTTGTACATGGTTTTTGTACAAATATAATGATGGTAAATTGAGGTAAAATATTTAAAGAAATAAATTTTAATATTTCATATAAAACTAAGTTAATCTTACATGTAATTGTAGAAAATAAATAATTCTTGTATAAAGCTTTTTGTGTAAAAAGATATAATTAGAAAGTCTATAATGTTATGTAACTTTTGATATATAAGTATTAGATGTGTATTCTTCCTATTTGACACTTAGCGATATAAATAAGGTTTGACAGCTTAAACTCTTAGAAGTATTTCCTTTAGCAAATATATTAATTCTTTTCTATTGTTCACATAGAATTCTATCTAACCAAATTATCGGATTTCCCTAATGGTCGTAAAAACAAGGTAATAAGTCAGTATTAAGTAATTAAAAATAGTAACCCCAAATTATGTAAAAATGTGAATAAGGTAAAAGAGATCTAACCAATAGAAACTGTCCTTATAAAAATAAGTATTCTAAAAGTCATTTTGATTGGTGAATAAAACAAGTCCAACCAGCACGTGTTCTTAGGGTTTAAAATAGAAAACCCTAAGGAATCAAACATTACTCTTATGGTTGGACTCGAAATAAACATATATAGACATCTTTGTTTTATTCACCAGGTTCGTAAACTTATAAATTTTGTATAGTGAAAAATTAAACGTAAACTTTAATAATGTTTTTAATGTAACAATTTTATAACAGAACTCTTTCTTTATTAAAGTTACCATAAATATCATAATAAACTATTTTAATTAATTAATGAAGTATTTTGATAATTGTTAATTCAAGTTCATTTTAAGAATCAAACTCTTTTTATTTCATATTAATGTATTTTGATTAATTTACTCTTATGGTTGGACTCGAAATAAACATATATAGACATCTTTGTTTTATTCACCAGGAGGCCTCGACAGAACGCGAACGACAGTCCCCCAAATTGTCGTAGTTAAAATAGTGAACACAGATATGTAAACAGCAGAGCGACAACATTAACCTTCAGCGGGAGAGGGGAGGCAACGGCCTTAGTCTACCCTTCCCCTTTTCCCGCATAATACAAATTATAAGTTTTTTTAAACATACCTTTTTGCACCAGGTGATAACAGTTTATCTTCAAAAATTTATCAGCTTAATGTTTTAAATTCAAATTTATATACTTCAAATTAACATTTAGCGCTATTTTCCATATCCTATAACTGGAAATAAGGACACCTGAATGGTTAAAATTCTATTTTTTATTTTTCTCCTTATACTAAAATCATATCCATAAAAAGTCATTTTGTGTTCTTATAAAGTTTTTTTTGTATCAATGCTCAGAACTAGACTGTATAATGTAGTCATGGAAATATGACAGAATTATGACAGAATTATGCAAAACAAAAGACTTTGTGCTTGTATCATCCATTTGTGTTGAGCGGTTCATAAAATAGTGAAAACTTGTACAAAAATTCTGTACAAATTATAATGTGTACAACATTACAATTTGTACACAACATATATAATTATTCCTTTAGCTCGTGTTGTAAAGCACAAAAACAATTTAAAATGAAATTTAAGTTAAAATCCAGTGGTTGTCATTTGTTGCGTTCAGTCGTACATGTTTTTCGTTCATTGTTGTTGTATATTATCTCTTTTGAATTGGTTCACATTTTGAATATCCATCAACCTCACGTTCTGTTATATAGATGATCTCCGCTCACTTAATAATTCAAAATTAGGTGACTATGTTGAACTCATTTATCCCGATTGAACTTGAAATAAAGGATATCACATATTCAGTTGAGTCTGCCTCATATCTTAACTTACATCTAGAAATTGACAATGAGGGCCGGCTGCGAATAAAACTTTATGACAAAAGAGATGATTTCAACTTTCCATTTCTATGTAACAATATGTATAATGAGTATATATCTCCAAGTTGAGCTTGCGTTTTCAGTAATGAATTCCTTGACAGAGGATTGCTTCTCACAAGGAAGTTATTGAACAAAAAGTAAAATAACAAAAGTACCGAACTCCAAGGAAAATTTAAAACGGAAAGACCCTTATCAAATGGCAAAATCAAAAGCTAAAACACATCAAACGAATGGAAAACAGATGTCATATTCCTGACTTGGTACAGGTATTTCCTTATGTAGAAAATGGTGGATTAAACCTGGTTTTATAGTTAGCTAAACCTCTCACTTGTATGACAGTCGCATAAAATTCCATTATATTGACAACAATGCGTGACCCCCAATAGGTTCCAATTGGATCCATTTTCCCATTCTCTTTTCCTCGATTGTCACATTACCGAATTTGTACTTACCACGTGCAACACGACGATCTCGAGTGTCATATGTGGAGCAGGGTATGCTTACCAATCCGTAATACCTGATATCACCCACGTTTGATGGTTTGGCGGGGTTCTTGTTGCTCAGTCTTTAGATTTTTATGTAGTGTTTCGTAGACTTGTTTGTCTTTTCGTCGTTTTTACGTTTTATGCCATGATTTTGTAGGTCACTCTTCGACTTATGAGATTTGATTCTCCCTTTTGGTATCCTCCGCTTATTTTTTGTCATGCCAGCTTACTATACGGTTACGGGTTTGCTCTTTGTTGATGACTGTGGGGTCACCTAACAAAAGTATAAAACGTTGTAATTTGGTCTATATGAATAGTTGTCTCATTGGCAAACATACCACATCTCCTTATTTTTTACATATAAAATGAAAACATAATCAATAAAAGAAATACTTTCATTGTACTTATTTTAAAAATCAAAGCTCGAAGAATAATACTTGAAGCTTTTTTTTCATTTGTTTATAATCCCGTCATACTTACTTTTAGTGCAATGTTTGCCTTTGAATAATATATTACACTCGCAAATATAACCATTAACTTGTTCAATGCATTCCCCATACAGGCAGGGGTCATCCTTGCAGTTATCTTTATCTGTAATTGTAAAATTATCTCAATTAATTGATGGCATACATCTGAATAGCTATTAATATGTTAATACGTAAATTTAATAATTTAATGTACTAATTAAAGTTGGTGTCTGAAACATTTTATTTGGGCGACTATTTCATATTTCAAACTCTTATTTCGCATTTCGATCATGCACGTTCTACCATTTCACCAATATTTTCAAGAACTCATAGTTAAAAGGTTTGAGCAAGAATTTGTTTTAAGGAACGTAGGTTGAGTTTTCTATCCCCTAAGTGTTTGTGATTAGTGCATCATGCGTCAACCGTAAGGAGGAAACAATTGAAAAGAGCATACATTGTGTTTTTTTTTTAATTTGTGAAATGCTGTATGTCTGTTCGTTTTTTTGTTTGTTTTGTCCATGAGGTAGTCTGGTTTTCTTTGCCACACGCTTTATTATCCCCCCCGTTGTATCCTTACCACTTATTTCGATCTAAATTTGATTTTTTAATGGTCTTTAGTGATGTCCAGTTATAGTTGTTTTGTTTTAAGATGTTATCCTATATACTGTAGTCTTTTGTTTTGTAATGAATTATCGAATTTGTATGAAAAATTCACCAGTTTTAAACCCAGTTATGAAAGACTATATAAGAGCTCTGTTCGTTGAGTTATTTGTAGTATATCTTATGTTTTGCTACGGTATAGACAGTCTGCCATCATGGCGACACAAATTATAGTTGGTAAACAGACAAGTAAAACTATCATAAACAACTTTTGCCATAACCGACACAATATCCGTACATCACAATGAATATATGGCATCTTACAATGATTTTGGAGGACATAGGGTTGTTCAACTTGGTATTAGATTACGGAATTGATATTACAAATTTTTCGACAATCTCACCAGCGTATCTGTAAAAAACGAATAGCTTCGTTTTCAATTTGATCGATAGTTATTTCCAAGTGTATCTTTTGGGTCATGTCTCATGTATATCCATGCATGCCTCTTTCTCATAACCCGATATTTTGCTTTAATATAGTGGTTAATTTCAATTCAAAAAGGCCATAATAAAAAGCAGATAAATTGACTAAAAACATTTTTAACAGTCTTAGGCAAGTATATGATAAAAGAAATTTGAATAAAATTTCAGAAAGACAACACTTTGAACACATACCGCGTATACCAGTCAATGATTTACTGTGTTCGTTTATCCTAAATAGTGAGATGGACAACGAACAACTCATTTTTGCTTATAAAGATGCAATTTATAAAATAAGATAAAATATAAATTACTTTTAAAAGCCTATTATTTTTTTTAAAATTATGCTGTACGTTGATTGTGAATTTGTCAATTTAGAATTACTGGCAGTGAAATAAATCTATTTTGTCAAATGTGGTTTACAAATTAAAAAAAAGGAATCTAAAAAAATACATACTAGTAGGTACTCACTATTATTTCATAATGTTAAATTATATAAACAGCCCTATAGACCTTGTTATTTGAATGATGGCTGTTCAGTTAATTCTTTAATGACTAGTCTATATTTAGGATGTGTATATGAAAACGGTTTAATAAATTAATATTTACTATAGTTATAATGCTACAAACCATTATCATTTTTCTGAGTAGTTAGTGAAGTTCTTGTGGTTGTTGTAGAAGGGTTCCAGATGACATTAGGACTGGTGGTTGAGATCGTGGCTGTATGTGAATTAATGCTGGTTGCAGTTGACGTTGCGATTGTACTTGGTATGAATATTGAAGACACAGTCTTCTTTGTATTAGACATATTTTTTGTTGTTGTAGAAGCAGTCTTGGATTTAGTAGATATAGTTGTCGAAGCAAGGGTAGTTAATGAAATTTTAGTGTTGGTCGTTGTAGGTTTAGTAATTGTTAAAGGCAATCCAATACTAAGAGTAGGTTTAGTTGAGGTCGTAGGCATTGTTGTAGATAACGTTGTTGTTGTAAGCAGAGTCGTTGTAGTTGGTGTTTTTGTAGATATGGTCGTTGCAGTCGTTGTAGTTGGTGTTGTTGTAGACATGGTCGTTGAAGTTGGTGTAGGTGTTGTAACAGGCGTGGCTGTTGAAGTAGGTTTTATAGTAGGTGTGGTTGTTGTGATAGGCGTTGTCGTTGTTGTGTGCGTGGTTAGCATGGTTGCTGTTGTAGGCGTGGTTGTAGCAGGTGTTGTTGTAGGCGTGGTTGTAGCTGGTGTTGTTGTTGTAGGCGTGGTTGTAGCTGGTGTTGTTGTTGTAGGCGTGGTTGTAGCTGGTGTTGTTGTATGCGTGGTTGTAGCAGGTGTTGTTGTTGTAGGCGTGGTAATAGCTTGTGTTGTTGTTGTAGGTGTGGTTGTAGCTTGTGTTGTTGTTGTAGGCGTAGTTGTTGCTGGTGTTGTTTTTGTAGGCGTGATTGTACCTGTTGTTGTTGTAGGCGTGGTTGGAGTAGGCGTGGTTGGAGTAGGCATGGTTGTACTAGGTGTTGTTGTATGCGTGGTTATTGTAGTAGTCGTTGTTGGTGTAGTAGGTGTTGTTGTTGGGGTTGGTGTGGTTGTTGTTGGTGTTGTTGTTTTAACAGGCGTGGTTGTTGTCGTTGTAGTGGTGCGTGTAGTAAAAACAGTAATTGTGGTTGTAGTGGGTATTGTAGTTGGATTTCCTGAAATAAATACATCTTATAAAAAAAAGCCTAACAAGTTAAAGCTTAAATGTTTAATAAAAACGTATGATTATATCGATTTCATTTCGATACATACAATCATACGATCAGATAGCCATAACATGTTTTTGCTCATCAACGCCAATGGACATTAACATAGACTGTAAAACAGACAAAAAAACTGAAAAAAAAACTTTGCCTGATGGAAGTTGCATCTTTAGTTTTACTAAAATTACATACATAATATCTGAGCAAATGTAGTCAAGATATCTCACCAGCAACGGTACCGACCAAAGTATGCTTCCAACTTCAGTGTGCAAGATAAGTGTAGAAAAATTATTTCAAGAAAAAAAAATATCATCATCCTTGATTTTTTGGTTATTTAGATATGGTTATAAAAATTTTGATGACATAGAATAATGGGATTTTCTAGACATTTCATCACTGTCTGAAGATTTCGTGTCCAATCGATGCAGTTTAATTCCTTTTCATTTTGAGTTTAGTGTTTCAATTCCTTATTTATAAAATTATTGCACACAATTTGGAGGTATGCATTAAAGTGTTCAGTTTATTGTCTTGTCTCTCAAATTGTGTACAGAGATTCAAACAAATTGTAAAAAGGGATTGTGACATAAATTCTTGTTTTATTTTTTATTTTTTCACAGAACGTATACTTAGTCTATGTATCATCTTAAGATTGTGACAATGGACTTCAATAGTGTGTTTTAAAATTTTTATTACTTGTTATTATATTGGCACAGATTGTGAAACTAAAATTAAGGAATTTTGAAAACATGATCGTAATATTAACTTCTAATTTCTTCCGATATTTTGATTTCTACAATTATTAGTCTTCAGCCTATGTGCAATACCGATGCAATATTTTACTGAAGAGAAAAGTTAAAACTTACGAGGTCCTCTCAAACTTAAGTAGGATGTTTTCGTTAATTGTTTAACGATGTTTTTTTTTACAACTACTGTCAGATCATGTATATGTTCGATGTTCTTATACAGAAGGATTTTGCAACATATCTAAATGTTCAAATAGTTTTATTATTTTTTTCTATTTATATTTTAGTGTCGCGGGTACTGTTATATAAAAATAATGAGATGTCCTGATAGACAATGAGACAACAGTAACTATCCACCAAAAGATCACAGGACAAGAAAGTAGACCAGTCATCGTATGGCCTTCACCAATGAGTTAAACTTATACCGCATAGAGAGTTATAAAATGTCCCTGGATAACACAATGTGAAACTATTCAAAGAGAAGACCATTTAAGGTTTATAACATTAAATAGAACTATAGTTGACAGCAACCAACAGCGACCACAGGGCTACAAGCTCCTTGCTATGACCAGGCCTATAAAGAATATGGTGATATTAAAATGTTTGAGAGCGAGCATTTCCGCCTTATCTGAGACAATACAACATAATAGAACATTATAAAAACAAAACCCCATTAAAAACAACTACTTACAAATTGACACAAGACACAGAGTATACTGATCAAAAAGAACTCGCAGTTTCTGGAAGCTAGTTCAAAGTACAATATTGCAACTAATAAATAAATCATGTATTAGCAATGTCAATCATTAACTTTATCGGATTTAATGCACATAAAATAAAATTAGAATTAAATTGGCAAACTATAATTTAAACATCATTATGAAAATTATGATATGTGGTATGATTACCAGTGAGACAACAATCAAATCCAGTAACGATGTGAACAACTTCAGGGTGCCAGTAATGAGCAGAACCCATATAAAAGGCACAAAAAAACCCCAATATTTGAAGCAGTTCAAAGGAGAAAACCGACGTCATTATTTAAAATACAATAATAAACGAAAAGCAATTATAGCAGGCAGTAACCAACGAAAACTGCTTGATAACATGCTGATGGTTTGAGACAGGTACATTAAGAATGTGGTGTGATTTAACGTGGAACATGCAGCGTTGTAAAACACGACATAATAAAAACTAAAGGCTTGACCTATCAGATCGGTAATTTACACAAAAATAAAGATTCCGTTTTAATAGGTCTCGCAGCTACTGAAAGCTAATTCAAAGCTCAATATCACTAATATAAGTTATATCATATATTCGCAGACTAAAATATCAATATGTAAACTTCCAAAGGATTTAGTATAAAGAAATCATTTATCAGTATCGGGTAAATCATGACCTTGTGAAGTGCCAACATAAATGTGAAGACAGGATGCAAGACCATAAGTGTTAATAGCTAGATAGCAATATTATTATGTTTAGTCATGTTATAAATAGAGAATATCATATGGCTTTTTTAATATCACATCCGTATCAACCTGTATTTACTACTAAGTATATATAATAAACTATTAGAAATAAAATCGATATACGCATAAAGGCAAAATCTAAAGCTCTGACTAATATGTTAAATAGATAACGTTTAAGAATAATTTAAACAAAGTTTGTTATGTTATGCTTGAAATGGAAATCTGATAGGTTTTTTTAAAATCAAAACTCCCTTTTTAACTGTTCACTTACTATACTGACACCTATCTCCGTGATACCACTTAGTACAGTAACATGTTTTGTTGGATCCAACCATGCTGCATGTTCCGCCGTTTTCACAGTATTTTGCTGGAGGACATGCATCTTAAATCAGAAACAACACAAATGTTTAGAAAAAAAGAAAATATCCACAGTTTTGCGAATGTTTTATCCTCTAACATTGTTTTATATGTATAATTATTCGTAAGTGTCGGTGTATATATATACTAGTTCTGATATCGTCCTCCAGTAGGGACGTCTTTGAATGTTTCCATTTGTAAGGTTAGTTAAGTTTGAGATTAAACGAGGTTCGATAGTAAAATTCTTGAAAACGATTGTTTTGGATTCGGTAATCATTCTAAACTTTGGATTATATATATTATCAAACAGAAAACAATAAACTTGCGAAAAGATGGTATATCGCAAAAATAAAGTGCAAAAAATTTTCTGTTAGTCAATTGCGTTTTGTTAACGCATTTGACTAACAGATGTGGTGTATATTTTCCTTCGGGTTTATATGATCCGTTCATCCTATTTCAACTCTTTAAAATTCAAGAGTCTATTCTAAATTGAGGTAAATTATATGGCCTTCCAAATAGCGTTTCGATCCCTAACATCACTGAAGAGACATTAATTGTCGAAATCCGGATAGGGTGTACAAAAAAAAAAAAAAAGAGAAAATTTTTTACACTTTATTTTTGCGATATACCATCTTTTCGCAAGTTTATTGTTTTCTGTTTGGTATTAAAATTAATAATTAGGATCCATGTAACATCTGGTGATCAATTTATTTGGCAATCGCCAATTGCAGTCAGCAGGGTTTAAGAACATCAGTTGTTCGACCTGTTAGTCAAATGCGTTTTGTTAAAATATACTTTTCACTTTTTGGTCTTTTGGAAAATGTTGTTTGTGCTGTATTAAGACCCCTCTACCAAGAAATTAGTTTTACATGCACACGTATAAAAATTGCGGTTTTTATCCAACGCAATCATAGGTTTGAACGTTGTTTTCAATTAAGACTTGTTTATATTTTTTCGTTTGGGCTTGTATTATATTTTCCTTCGGGTTTATATGATCCGTTCATCCTATTTCGACTCTTTAAAATTCAAGAGTCTATCCTAAATTGAGGTAAATTATATGGCCTTCCAAATACGGTTTCGATCCCTAACATCACTGAAGAGACATCAATTGTCGAAATCCGCATATGGTGTACAAAAAAAAAAAAAAAGAGAAATTTGTTTGCACTTTATTTTTGCGATATACCATCTTTTCGCAAGTTTATTGTTTTCTGTTTGGTATTAAAATCAATAATTAAGATCCATGTAACATCCGGTGATCAATTTATTTGGCAATCGCCAATGGCGGTCAGCAGGGTTTAAGAACATCAGTTGTTCGACCTGTTAGTCAAATGCGTTTTGTTAAAATATACTTTTCACTTTTTGGTCTTTTGGAAAATGTTGTTTGTCCTATATATATATATATATATATATATATATATACATACGTCTAAACATGTGACAACTTTATGACAGACATTATCGATCTGATAACCCTTGGTTATACAATTACTAACACCATAATATATATATAATTCGTCTCAAATTTAGCCCAACAATGTTAGATCTGTAAGTTTGTGTTCCTCCCTCAGCGGGATTCGAACGAGACTTGGTGGCAACACAGCCTGCAATGTGTCCAGCGCCCTAGACCACTCGACCAGTTAGTCGAGTAATGGCCTTTCTTCGTCGGCTTTATCTAGGGCTGTAACACAGTACATGATGTATAATGGCAAGTAGGATGGTATGTCTTTCAGATCAGATATGTTTTGTTCGTCATAAAGGATGATAATGTAATTACCATGCCTTCACGTCAAATTATAGTTTGGCATTATATATATAAACGCCTAAAAAGTGTACAAAACAACACCAATAACAAAAAAAGGAAACATTAAATGTAATTATCTATAAATATTTCGGAAACAGATATCCTTCATCAGTATGATTATGATGTAAAATGAATCATATCAAATCAATCTATTCCGATTAACCTATAACAATCTTGAAATTTATACAATAAAACAGTTAAAACCGAACATCATAGAGACGCTTGTACAATTCTAAAATTTCAAAAATGACTTAGGTTATATAGCTATTTACAACAGAGACTGCAAAGGTATGCTTCAAATAAAAATAGTAATGTGTGATATGAATTGGTACAATTCTAAAATTTCACAGGTGACGACAGTTAAGATGTTACAACAACGATAGCGTGGAAATACATTTCCAATAAACAACACTGACTGATCTACGCTGGTATAATATTACAAATTTGACAACATTAGAGTAACTACAACAGAGGCTGCGTATTTAAACATCCAAATTAAACCATTGTCAGCCTATTCATTTACCGTGGATTCTTTTTCTAGAATCAACGCTTTCTAAATCTGTCGCTGAAATGGATTCACCAAATTATATTCAACTGTTTCCTTTGTGTGCCTAATTTCATTAAGTTTGAATTAGCTAATTTACTGATTTCTGTTCACTAATGGAATTAATTTTAAAAATTACCTTTAATTTTTGTAATTTTTATATGCCTTCACTGGGAATCGAACCCGTCCTTGAAATCTGTTATGTGTGACTGACATCAACATATCGACGAAACCAATTGGTTACAACTTAAATGTCTATTTTATATATATAAATGAACATATGATATACATCAGTACGACGGACACACAGGGCTTGTACCTTTATATATACATAAAAGACAATCGTATAGTATAAGTTGGTAGCCGCGAGGTTAGCATAGTTAAGATCAATGAGTTAAAGAGTTAAGTTAAAGGTAGGGACTTGTCGGTTTAGGTTCGAATCCCTGTATTGTTGTCCCTATTCTATGGTTTTTCTGGTTTTTTTTCTTATTTTGTATGTAATTGTGGATATTTTTGTAATAATAGCGAGTTTTACCGTTTATTTTTGGATTATTATTGGCTATTTCACATATTTGAAACGAAAATGATTACATTCAATTTGTCCATTTTTGTTTTATAAATATAGTAAGATTTCATCTGTTTTACTACATAATTTTACAAATGTTTATTCGCAAATTCCTATGCGAGTAAATCGTGATGTGCCTAGATTTAGGCTTCCTGCTAGAAATTTCGATAACATACTTATTATATATACTTTATATATGCTCTTTGGTCTGATTGTTTGACACATTCCCCATTTCCATTCTCAATTTTATTAGAAATAAGTTCGAATATGTCTTACTTTGTAAACACAGAAAATATTCAGATGCCTGATAATTTAAAGGCAGACATGTTGTGTTATATTTGTATTGTTCTGACCAATTAGTTGTGATCTTATATTTAATAATGCATCGTTGAACATGATAAAATGGTTATTTAAACTGACTTACAATACCTTCTAATTAAGAAAAGGCTTTAATTTTGAAAAGACATTAACACAATAGTTTAAGTTAAAGATACAATGAATAAGCGTTGATTCATGAAAAACAAACCATTCGCCCTCCGGGCTCATGGTTTCTTTTTCAAGAATCAACGCTTATTCATTGTATCTATATTACATAAATACAGTTTGATAATGAAGGTTAAATAATTGAACGTGACTGCGTATTTGTTCATCCCTCCAAAATTAATAGAACCAAGCAAATTTAAACTGGTATAATTACAAAAAATTAAGGAGTTGACAAAGCTAAAGAAATAGAAACAGAGACTGTGTAGTAATAAGTTATATAACTCAAATGTAAAGCACTGCGCGAATTCGAACTACATCTTTTCATTTATCCCATTTGGTGCCAAAGTTTTTAATTTTCTTATCCAAAATCTTTTCCGAGTGAGCCTATCCTCCCTAGACCTAGCAGTGTTGTGGTCTATGATTGTAATGGTCAGTCGATTGAGATCTGCCTTTGTGTGTCCAGGGGATCTCAAATGTCGACTGAGAGGGAGGTCTGGCTTGCATTCGTTATATATAAATTATATATATATATATATATACATATGCAACTCGTTTAAACATCAGCCCAACAATGTTAGATCTGTAAATTTGCTTTCGCAAATTTTTAGTTCTTCCCTCGCCGGGATTCGAACTCATGCTACTGAGATATCGTGACACCAAATCTGTATCCGACTGTATCCGACGCGCTAGACCACACGACCACCTAGGCTTCACAATGATAAAGCTTTCGGTGGCCGGGTGTTACCTTTCCTCGTCAGT